GATACAGCAGGTGTAGAGTGAGGGGCTCAGGATACAGCAGGTATAGAGTGAGGGACCCAGGATACAGTAGGTGTAGAGTGAATGACCAGGGTACAGCAGGTGTAGAGTGAGGGGCCCAGGCTACAGCAAGTGTAAAATGAGGTGCCCAGGACACAGCAGGTGTAGAATGAGGGGCCCAGGATACAGCAGGTGTAGAGTGAGGGACCCAGGACACAGCTGGTGTAAAGTGAGGGGCTCAGGACACAGCAGGTGTAGAGGGAGGGACCCAGGATACAGCAGGTGCAGTGTGAGGGACCCAGGATACAGCAGGTGTAGAGTGAGAGGCCCAGGACACAGCAAGTGTAAAGTGAGAGACCCAGGATATAGACATGTCTAGTGAATGATCCAGATACGTCAGGTGTAGATTAAGGGGCTCATAATAGAATCTGTGTTGATTTAAGGATGCAGGACATAGCAGGCTTGAAGTAAGGGATCAAGGAGCTTGGTGTCCACTCTGGAACATGCTGTGTTCACCAGGGTGTTGCCTAGGACTGCTTCCAGGCGGGAGGTGGGCATCCCTGGGACAGATGGCTGGGATCTGTGGCAGCAGGTGAGTGCTCACAGATTTCCCGAGCATCAGAGGACACCAGTGAACTCCACCCAGAAGACTCATCACCAAGCAGTGGACTTGGCTGTGCAGGGTCTCTCTGAAATCCAGGGTCCCTGCTTACGTCAGAAACACCATGTCCCTCTGCACCAACATGAGGTCACTTAGTGTCCCCTAGGCAGCCAGGTGCCATCTGCTGGTGGAGCTCAAGAGAGGCAAGACTTCAGAAGGACACATCCTTTTCCAGAGATGCACAATCAGAGACCATGCTGTCCTGAAATGGAGCTCAGGGACCTTCTTCCTCCCATGGAAGAGTGGCTTGAGTCAGAATGGCCCTCAAGGTGAGCACACCTCTCACCAGTTTCCAGGCAACTGGAAACTATAGGCCGCTTCTGGCAAGAAACTTGCAAAGCCACACACTAGTGCAGTGTTCAGCTTTGAGGAGACACACTGAGCTCCTGGTGTCACATCCAGCACAACAAAGCCTAACAAGGGCACAGCAGGAAGGGGAGATTTTTTAATAATCTCCCTCATGACTGTACATAGAATAGACCTAAAAGATCAAATGTTTTTCATGTGGTGGAATAGGGTGGCTTATCATGCAAATGTAATCAATACTGTTTCTCCGGGGTCAGTGCTGTGGTGCAGCAGGTTAATCCTCTGCCTGCGGCACCTGCATCCCATATGGGTGCTGGTTTTAGTCCCGGCTGCTCCACTTCTGATCCAGCACTCTGCTGTGGCCTGGGAAAAGCAGAAGATGGCCCAGGTGCTTGGGCTCCTGTACCTGTGTGGGAGACCCGGAAGAAGCTCCTGGCTCCTGGCTTCAGATCCGCCCAGCTCCAGCCGTTGTGGCCATGTTTCTCCATGTACTTGCTATTAATTGGAGAGGAAAAATAGTAATGATAAAGTAGGGAAATGTGTATAACCTTAGCCAGGGAATCAGACTTACCACCCACAGGGAGGGAAATAAGATTCAGCTTCCTCCATCTATGATGCCACTGATGGTGCCTTCCGGTCCAACCACAGAGAGGTAATTTAACCAAGAGGAGAATCCATGAAAACTGAGGATTCCAGAAAGCTGTTGACCCCTATTCCTCAAAAATACCAATGTCATGAAAAGCAAACACTTCCAGCCATTTAATTAAAGGATACTGATCTATGAAGCTAAATGCGGTATAAGATCCTGGGCTGAAATCACTTAACGGGAATAAAACTTATATAAAGGGCAATGTTGAGAATTTAACAAAACTGGAATAGAAATTGCAGATTAGTAAAAGTAACATCACAATTTTTTAATTCTGAAAATTTGTTAGCTGTTACATTGTTATCCTCACGGGCTAGCCTTGCTATTAGGAAATATAAGGATACTCCAAAAAGTTCACGGAAAAAAGAAATTAAAATGGAGGTTTTGGTGAAAACATTTTGAAATCCATGCATAATTTTTCATAATGCATAATTGTAGATTTGAACACACATAACTGTTCTCTCCAAGGGAAGGGTTGCAATTGTGGTGGAATCGATGGTTTAGTGTTAGCCTTCTGAGTGTCCACTCCCATGCAAACACTATGTGCTTCAACGGGAGAGGGTTGATGAGGGTGGGTGGTTACAAAGGCAGCCAAGGGCTGGAGGCAAGGCTGGGACCTGGGATGGAGCAGTGCTGTCACCCAAGGAGCAGGATGGTTACCTGGAGCTACGTGAGGCCCTTCCTGCTGAGCTGGTGAACACTCTGCTCTCCTGGCTGCTGCCGCTCCACCTGCTCTGGTCACAGGTGGTGACCCAGTGACCCCGACACCTAGAACCAAACGTGCTGCGGAAGCTGCCTTCAGGCTGTGGTGGCTGCAGTCTTGAGCATTGCCTACCACTGCCACAGCTGCCAGACACCATCACCACAAGTGAAAAAAAAGACACAATTCCTTTCTTCTTCCCACTGTCCAGTGTCCCTCAGAGCCCTGTGGGAGACCACGTGGCAAAGCAGTGAGGACAAGAGAGCGGTTGCTTCCGTCTGCCTTCCTGTCTGGTCCTAATTGCCTGGTACACTCTGTATGGTCAATAAATATTCGTATGTTGAAGGCACAATATGGTTTCTAGAACTTTTTTTTAACTAGGTGATTGCATTATGGTTTTTTCTTTTTTTCTAACTTCTGTTTTTTTTTTTAAATTTTATTTATTTATTTGAAAGGCAGAGTTGCAGAGAGGGAGAGGCAGAGAGAGAGAAAGGTCTTCCATCCACTGGCTTACTTCCCAGTTGGCCATAACAGCCAGAACTGAGCTGATCCAAAGCCAGGATCCTGGAGATTCTTCCAGGTCTCCCATGTGGGTGCAGGACCCCAAGGACTTGGACCATCTTCCACTGCTTTCCCAAGCCAAGGCAGAGAGATGGATAGAAAGTGGAACAGTTAGGCCTTGAGCCAGCATTCATATGGGATGCCTGCATTGCAGGTGGCAGCTTTACCTGCTACACCACAGCACCAGCCCCTGCATTATGGTTTAAAAATTTTCACTGGATAAGTTTGTACTTTCAAGATTTTTAAAAGTCATTTCATGTCAGTATTTAAAATAAAAACAAATACTTTAAATTTAAAATTAAAGTGACATAGATGGCAAACAAGTGACAGAGAGAAGCAGAGTATAATCGGCAACCTTAAGAGCAAAAAAATGATGGCATGGAGGAGAGGTCCTCAGGTTTCTACTTGACCACGGTACGGACGAGGTGTCTTTGACACATCAGTTGAATGCTGAGATTCAGATTTGGTACTTGTAAAGATAAGAAGTAAAATAACAGGATCTTGTAAAATCTTCTTGAAGATGAAATGAGGCTATTCACATGCACACGTGCATACACACATGCACATACACACATGCACACGGGGAGTATTTCTGTAAAGTACAGCAGGTGAAGGCCATGTGTTAAGGAACTTGCAGATTTCATCAGTCAGACCTTGTTGGTGATGGTGAGATTAGAGATTACTGCTACAATCAGTTAAGACTCTGAGAAAGTGAAGAAAGACAGGGATCTGTGAGCACCACTGGCTCTTCTAATTGCACTGCTCTCCAAAGCCCCAGAGGTTGCTTATTAACAGAAAACCTTCATCCACTCCTGCAACGGGCACAAACAAGGTGATGTCACTTTCCCACTTCTGTTGTGCATTTAGTCCAGCCTGGCTCCATGAGGCTGCAGATGAGGCTCAAGACACCCTCTAAGTGAGCTCAACCAGATGGGCAGGCAGTGCTGCAGGAGCAAGGTGTTGCCACTCTTGACTTGCTCCGCATTCTGCTGGCTCTTGATGGTGCTTCCTCGTGTATTCCCTATCACCTGTTTTTGTGGAGTAAAAGCCCTTTCTCATCAACAGTTTATTTTTTGTTTGTTTGTTTTTTTAGGGTTTATTTATTTTTTTGAAAGTCAGAGCTACAAGGAGAGAGAAGGAGAAGCAGAGACACAGAGAGAATGGTCCTCCATCTGCTGGTTCACTCCCCAACAGGCAGCAATGGCCAGAACTGAGTCGACCTGAAGCCAAGAGCCAGGAGCATCCTCTGGGTCTCCCACACCTGTGCAGGGGCCCAAGGACTTTGGCCATCTCCTACTGCCCTCCCAGGCCACAGCAGATAGCCTGATTGGAAGTGGAGCAGCTGGATCTCCAACCATCACCCATATGGGATGTGGGCACCGCAGGTGGCGGATCCACTTGTTTGCTACAGCACTGGGCCCTCCTCAACAGTCTTATAGAGGAATCACTGCAGCACATACATGAGTGCCGGTGATGCCGTGAGTCTCAGATGTGCCAGAGTCCACGCCAAGGCATCAGATTCACTAACAGTGCTGTCTGTGTCACCAGCACTGCAGAACCTGGGGCTGCTATTGTGCTGAACGGAATAATTAGCCCCTGGAATTGGTTATTACAAGAGTTGTTTCTGAAATAAGCTGAATCATAATATGGCTGAGATCTTCCCAGAAAGAGGAGCTACTCAAATTTAACATATACTCTGTCAGAAATGAAAAACTTGAGAAGGTTTTCTCTCCTTAAGAGACACTGTGGAAGAAGTTATGATTGATTCTCTTCAGAACAGCCCAATGCATTATGTGTCCATTGCTATTTTTAAATTCATTTTGTATCTATTTAAAAATTCTACCTTTAATGAGTTTATATAATTTTTCCTGAATAGAATGATGGTGGCCTCCTTCAAAGATATGAGTTTCAGTTTGTCCCAGATCTGTCTTTAGCATCTAACATAGAGGCAGGCACGGGGAGGAGGAGCAGCAAGCCGGGGCTGGAGACGTCCCAGGGTGGTTTGGGTTTCCTCTCTGCATCTCTGCTTCCAGGAGTGATGGGCTGTGGCAGGGATGCGGCAGGTGGCATCTGCAGGCACAGAGTGGTGAGTAGCAGGGACCCTCTAAGTGCTGGCTCTTCCCCCAAGACTCAGTGCAAACGGTCACAGCTCCTGTGAAGAACAAGCACTTGGAAAATTCACTGGAAAATGGAATTTAAAGATGGCTTTATTTCGGTGCAAAGCAGTTTTCCAATGCGTGCTTAGTCTTTCACAACACGCATGTTCCAAGAACTTGTAGAGGACCCCTCATTTGGAAAGAAGAGATGCAATTTTCCATACAATTGGGCTTAGCCAGAGTTAAGCTAGTGATAACGTATTTATAAACAGTTGTATGTGTCCTGGAAACATGCATTTAAAATTTACATTTACATGGAGTAAGTAAATTCACATATATACATAGACACATATTAACAAACCCAAATTCTTTTTTCAAATGTGTTGTATGCTGTATTTATTTATTTGCAGATATTTTCCCATCTTATTTCTGAAAACAAAATCTTATGTGTCCAAGCAGATACTAAAACTGGAGGCTGCAGTGACGTGTCTCACAAGACAACACACTAACTGTCCTCTCAGGTAGGTTCTGTGGTGTAGACAGGCTGCCGTGTAAACAGATGGGGTGTGTGTTAATTACCCATAACCAGCATGATGCTAAGGACTCCCACCACTTAACCTCACTTAATCCTCAGTATACTGAGGTCAGGCATTATGTCTACACCCAGGCAGGGGGTTGGTGGGCTGAGGGCTACCCTGTCCAAGGCTGCCCCTTGTCCCTTGGGTCCTCAGAGTGATTCCAATGTGAGGACTGGCCCAGCTCCTGGTTCCATGAGCCTCACTAGCCACAGCTGCAGAAACTCCCGGGGCTGCCCAGTCCTTTGGACTGAGGAGGCTCCGATGTGGGATCAGGGTTTGCCCGAGATTGTCTCAGTGACTCTGTCAGTCCTTCTTATCTGGAATATATACCTGGGAGATTTTTAGATCCCAGTTCGATCTTTAAACCAGATAGGTTGAATCTTAGTTCAATGGCAAAAACCCTAGGAAAGGGAGTTTGGTTCTGTTTATTCTGTGTTTGTGACAGCACAGGCAGTGGCTCAGCCCACTTTCAGGACCTGCTGGTCACCGACACTGTCTTCTGTTAGCATGCCTGTGACCTAACACTGAGGCAACCTCAGCATAATTCAGGATGCTTCTGGCTCATCATTGTGAGTTGTTACTTTTCTAAAAAGAAACCGTTGAATTACAGGCAGTTTATGTTCTGCAGCTCTACAGGTGTGGAGGAAGTCATCTGGTTAAGTACACTTAGGTTGGTGCCTTCACACCCAGCCATACCCTATGCATTCACTGCAGGGGACTGCATCTCATCAACCCTGAAGCTTTCCCTGGGGTGAGACCTCATGGATAACACCACCTGGATGGCCGCCCACCCAGGGCAGCTGTATTTCATCTTTGTGGGACTCTTCCATCAATCCCAACACCCTGCTCTTCTCTGCATGGTCATTTTTGTGGTTTTCCTGATGGCCTTGTCTGGAAACACTGTGCTCATCCTGCTGATACACTCCAATGCCCACCTTCACACGGCCATGTACTTTTTCATCAGCCAGTTGTCCCTCATGGACACGGTGTACATCTGCGTCACTGTGCCCAGGTTGCTCACGGGCCAGGTCATGGGAATGAACAAGATCTCAGCCCCTGAATGTGGGGTACAGATGTTCCTCTACTTGACTGTAGGTGGTTCAGAATGGTTCCTTCTGGCTGCCATGGCCTACGACCGCTTTGTGGCCATCTGCCATCCTCTCCGGTACCCTGTCCTCATGAACCACAGGGTGTGTCTCCTCCTGGCTTCTGGCTGCTGGTTCCTGGGGTCGGTGGATGGCTTCATGCTCACTCCCATCACCATGACCTTCCCCTTCTGCAGGTCGCATGAGATCCATCACTACTTCTGTGAGGTCCCTGCCGTCATCAAGCTCTCCTGCTCGGACACTTCCCTGTACGAGAGCCTCATGTACCTGTGCTGTGTCCTCATGCTCCTCATCCCTGTGACAATTATTTCAAGCTCTTATTCCTTCATCCTCTTCACCGTCCACAGGATGAACTCAACAGAGGGCAGGAAGAAGGCCTTTGCCACCTGCTCCTCCCATATGACCGTGGTCGTTCTCTTGTACGGGACTGCCATCTATAACTACATGCTCCCCAGCTCCTACCACACCCCCGAGAAGGACATGGCAGTGTCTGTATTTTACACCATAATCACTCCTGTGTTGAACCCTTTAATCTACAGTTTTAGGAACAAAGATGTTACCAGGGCTCTGAGGAAAACGCTGAGTGAGTGCTGTCATGCAGGAAGTAGTTCAGTAGGGAATCGGCACACTAATGGCTTCTTTTCCTTCTCTCCACAAGTGGATGTGTAGCATCCTACTTCTGATGTTATTCCTCTGGATCTTATAGTATCAATTTTCATGTAATTATCACCCATTTTTGAAGAATTGTTTCACTGTTCTGGGCAGCTTTTTATTTATACTCCTTGTGCATTCAAAATTTTCGTATGACTGCATTGTACCAGTGTAGTATTTCCAATCCATTGGGAAGATATTCATATTGTTAGGAAACAAATAATGACCTCTTTAGAAGAGAGATGTCAAGAAATGTGCACCCGGAAAGCAAGACATTCTGGAAAAAAAAAAAATGAAAGATCTATGTGAGTGCGATCCCAGTGGAAAGAACGAGCCATCAAAGGAGGTACCTTTCTCTGAAGGGTGGAGGGAACTTCCACTTTAACTATTACCTTGTCTAAATAAGATCAGAGTTGGCAAACTCAAAATGCTTCCATAGCCTTGGAAACTCATGACAAGAGCCTAGGGTGATTACTGACGCCATAAACAAGGGTGTCAATTGTTAAGTCAACAACAGGAGTCACTGTGCACATACTTCTCATGTAAGATCTCTGTCCTTAATGTGTTGTACAATGTGAATTAATGCTATAACTAGTACTCAAACAGTACTTTATACTTTGTGTTTTTGTGTGGGTGCAAACTGTTGAAATTTTTACTTAGTATATACTAAATTGATCTTCTGTATATATCAAGATAATTGCAAATTGAATCTTGATGTGAATGGAATGGAAGAGGAAGCGGGAGATGGGAGGGTTATGGGTGGGAGGGAAGTTATGGGGGGGGAAGCTACTGTAATCCAAAAACTGTACTTTGGAAATTTATATTTATTAAATAACAGTTTTAAAAAAAAGGCTGGTGCCACGGCTCACTAGGCTAATCCTCTGCCTGCTGCGCCATCACCCAGGGTTCTAGTCCCGGTCAGGGCGCCGGATTCTGTCCCGGTTGCCCCTCTTCCAGTCCAGCTCTCTGCTGTGGCCTGGGAGTGCAGTGGAGAATGGCCCAGGTCCTTGGGCCCTGCACCCGCATGGGAGACCAATGTAAGCACCTGGTTCCTGGCTTCGGATTGGCACAGCCCACTGGCCACAATGCGCAGCTGCAGTGGCCACTTGGGGGGTGACATATCTTACTACATTTGCAGCCTTTTCTTTTTAATTTGTGTTCATGACACAGAGAGCGGAGCCTACCTGCATTTTGGGTATGCTCTTCCTCAGCTGGAGTTTTCAGAATATGAAACTTCCTTTGAGGTGCCTCAGAGGCACTTGAAACCTAACAAAGGGTGTAAGCACTCTTATTACTGAAGACCTGCAGCTTTCTACGTTTAATCCAAACTTAATGTCACCTCCGTGTGGTTAAAAATGTTAAAATATTTCTCAAATTTATCTTTCTATGTACACACCAGCAAGGCAATTTTCCTAAGAGAAAATATGTATAAAATATCTCACATAGATATAGGTGTTGATTATTATGTTTTGAAAATGTGGAATCAGAATATTGCCTATATCCAATTGAGTTTTCAAAAGGGACTTGGATATTGAATATCAACTTTTTTTATTTATATAAGGTGAACAAATTTCATGTATTTCATATATACAGATATATGGGCATAGTGATATTTCCCACCCTACCCTTCCTCCCACCCATGACCCCACACTCCATCCTTCCTCTCTTATTCTTTCTATTTTTGCAATGACATACTTTCAGTTTATTTTATAATCATAAGATTAACCCTCTACTAAGTAAAAATTCAACAAATAGTAGGAAGAAAAAAACTCTGGTCTTCCACAGTAGAGACTATGGTTGTAAACAATAATCAATTCTCAAAATATCGATTTTGCTCATATACATTACATTTTTATGTACTCTATTAATTACCAAAGGTCAGGGAAAACTATGGTAATTGTCTTTTTTGGGAATGGCACATTACACTAAGTATAATGGTTTCTAGTTGCATCCATTTCATTGCAAAAGACAGGATTTCATTCCTTTTTATGGCTGAGTAGTATTCCATAGTGTATATATATATATATATCACATTTTCTTTGTTGAGTAGTTGGTTGATGGGCAACTGGATTGATTCCATATCTTAGCTATTGTAAATTGAGCTGCAATAAACATTGGGGAACAGATAACTCTTTCACATGCTGATTTCATTTCCTTTGGGTAAATTTCCAGGAGTGCAATGGCTGGGTCATATGGTAGGTCTATATTCAGATTTCTGAGGTGTCTCCATACTGTCTTCCACACTGGCTGTACCAGTTTACATTCCCACCAACAGTGGATTAGGGCACCTTTTCCCCCACATTCTTGCCAATGTTTACTGTTTTTTGATTTCTATATGAAAGCCATTTACATGGGGGTGAGGTGAAACCTCATGGTGGTGATGGCAAGTGATCCTGAGCATCTTTTCATGTATCTGTTGACCATTTGAATTTCATCTTTTGAAAAATGCCTGTCGATTTTCTTGGCCTATTTCTTGACTGGATTGTTTATTTTGGTTGTCGTTGAGTTTCCTGAGTTCTTGATATGTTCTGGATATTAACTCTTTATCAGTTGCATAGTTTGTAAACATTTTCTCCCATTCTGTCAGTTGTGTCAAAAGTCAAAGAAATATCTTCAGGAAAGGAATCTCTCAATCTATAAAAATTATCCTTTAAAAGATATAGAAGAGCTGGTGCTGTGGTATAGCGGATTAAGCCACCACCTGCAGTGCCCGCATCCCATATGGGTGCCAGGTTGAGACCCAGCTGCTCCACTTCCAATCCAGCTCTCTTCTATGGCCTGGGAAAGCAGAAGAAGATGGCTCAAGTCCTTGGGCCCCTGCACCTGCATTGGAGACCCAGAAGAAGTTCCTGGCTCCTTGCTTCAGATTGGCACAGCTCTAGCCATAGTGGCCAATTGGGGAGTGTACCAATGGATGTAAGACCTCTCTCTCTCTCTCTCTCTCTCTCTCTCTCTCTCTCATTCTTTCTGTGTGTAACTCTGACTTTCAATACATAAATAATTTTTTTAAAAAAGATATAGAAAAAACTGATCCCCTGGTTGCACAAAATTCAACAGAGTCACAAAGGAAAGGCAGAGCCATACAATGGCCTAAATAAACAAAATAATGCCTTAGTATCAGATTCTGAAGAAATGGAGACTGACAGAATGCTTGATAAAAAAATCAAAAGAATAATTCTGATGTCACTCAAAGAGATACAAGAGAATGCATACAGACTACTAAATGAAATTAGGAAACTGAGGCATGATAGGAATGAGATTGAGATATTGAAAAAGAACCTAACAGAAATATTAGATATGAAGAACTCCATCAGTCAAATAAAAAAATAGCAGGGTAAGTAAAGCAAAAGAAAAATATCTGAATTTGAAGATGGGTCTGTGAAAATGTCAGTCAGACAAGAAAAATAGGATAAAACAAATGAGAAAGAATGAAAATAGCATTCAATCTCTGGGACACCATTAAATGAGCCAGTATGAAAGTTTGGGAGTCCCTGATGAAACAGAAAAGAGAAGTGGCTTAGAAAATTTATTCAGTTAAATAATAGCTGAATATTTCCTTAATCTTCAGGAATATATGGAAATCTAAAATTAGGAAACCCATAGAATCCCCTCAAAGACAGAAAAGAACACTTCATACAACACATTCTGGTGAAACTTTCCAATTTATAACACACAAAAAAATCTTAAGTTTCCAAGAAGAAAACACCAGGCTACTTGTAAGGGAACTCCCATTGTATGACAGCAGACTTTTTCAACAGAAACCTCAAAGTTCAGGAAGGAATGAAAAAATACATTCCAAGTTTTGAACAACAATAGCAAAAAACTGTTAACCCAGAATACTTGACAAACCCGTAGATGAAGTTTCTAAACAAAGCTATCAAGGGAGGGGAAATAAAGACTTCCCAAACAAGCAAAAACTTGTGGAGTTCATCACCATTTGACCAGCCTTACAGATGATACTTAAAGTGGGTTGGGTTCAACTTAAACTTGGAATGCCTGCATCCGATGTCAGAGTGACTGGGAAAACCCAGCTTCCTGCTAATGAGCTTGGGAGGCAGCAATTCATGTCCAAAGCACTGGGTATCTGCCGCCCACTGGGAGATCCAGATGGAATTCCTCATTCCTACCTTAAGCCTGGCCCAGCCTCAGGTTGTTGTGGGCATTTGGGAAGTGAACCAATAGATAAAAATCTCAATCTCTCTCTCTGTCTCTGTCTCTCTCTCCTTCCCTCCCTCCCTCTTTCCTTCTCTCTGTGTCACTCTACCTTTCAAATAAATAAATATAAGTAAATCTTTAGAAGCAATAAATCTTGGGGCTGGCACTGTGGTGCAGTGGGTTAAGCTACCATCTTCAGTGCCAGCATCACATATGGGTGCTAATTCAATTCCCAGTTGCTCTGCTTTCCAACCTGCTCCCTGCTAATGGAATTGGGAAAGCAACGGAGGCTGACCCAAGTGCTTGGCCCCTGCACCCATGTGAGTCCCGAAGAAGCTTCTGGCTCCTGGCTTCAGACCAACTGAGCTCTGGCCATTACAGCCACCTGGGGAGTGAACCAGTGAACGGAAAATCTCTGTCTCTTTTCTCTCTACATGTAACTCTGCCTTTCAAATAAATAAAGAAATCTTTTAAAAAAGGAATAAGAAACAATAAATCTTTAGAAACAAAGGAAGATAACTTCCATCATTAACATGAGTGAAAATATAACTTACTAGAAAGAATAATGGATATTTATTTTTTTCAACTTTTATTTAATAAATATAAATTTCCAAAGTAAAACTTCTGGATTATAGTGGCTTTTCCCCCCATAACCTCCTCCCAATCACAATCATCCCATCTCCTACTCCCTCTCCCTCTCCCATCTCATTCTTCATTAAGATTCATTTTTAATTATCTTTATATACAGAGGATCAACTCAGTATATATTATGTGACGATTTCAACAGACTGCATCCACAAAGACACACAA